ATATATATATATTTATTTATTTATTTATATTAATATGTTGACAATTTTTACAGGATATACAATCATTTATTTATACAATCATTCCTTTTTATTTGCATATTTACATACGTTGTCGTTTCCTTCTCGCCATGTCATTAACAAAACGGAGGGGCTCTCAAATTGAAAAGGTATACGATGGCAAGTTTATTTGAAAAAAATAAATAATATAAAAATAATTAAAATTAAAATGTGAACTGTTGAGCTGGTCAACAGAGTCCGTTACTTAGAAACGTCAGCTCGGCTCATTCATAAATGTAAAAATTACAGTTCCAGGCCCTTCTGTTCTCCTTAAATTTTTCGGGGGAGAAATACAATTTGAAAATGTAGGAAACAGTTGTATTCTCTTTGGTGAGTTTTGGGTTTTTTTTGTTGTTGTTGTTGTTCTTTTAAATACCTAAACGTTCTTAATCTGCTTTGCATGTGGTATAATTGGAACAGACTTCAGCATTAAACCTTTATTTTAACGTTGAATGCATAACAAAAACACCCTCCTCAGCGTGTTGTTGAAATAGTGAGTGCTCTCCGAACAAAACTACACTCATCTCTATTTGACTGTAGAAATTGATTAGAGCAATACTAAATCTTATTGTGAGTACAGTAATTGCAGAAAACGATACCAAGTCATATTGTGATTACAATAATTGAAGAGGACAATAATAAATCATATTACTGTACCCACAGCTCAGTTATTTAGAAATGATTATATTGTTTATTTCTACTACTAGTGTTATTGTAAGAGCTGTTGTTGTTGTTTTTTTCTCCCACTTGCCATTAAATATGTATGTTTTGGTTCGTAAACTTCTTTGAGCCCTACGTAACTCTATAAAATTTGGCATATCGGAGTTATTGCGTAGGATATTTGATCACAGCACGTCTGACTGATTGTCTGGAGAGACTTTTAGAAATATGAGTATTGAAATATAATTTCATATTAAATACACATTAAAATTCAAAATCCGGTTTTGAATGAAAGCTTTACAAGTTCAAGGGCAATAATAAATAACATTTTAGCATTAGAACCAGGGATTTGGACGGGAGCTCGGAGAACAGGGTCTTTTGGTCCGGAGCTCGGAGGCCAGGGTCTTTTGGTCCGGAGCTCGGAGGCCAGGGTCTTTTGGTCCGGAGCTCGGAGGCCAGGGTCTTTTGGTCCGGAGCTCGGAGGCCGGGGTCTGTTGGTCCGGAGCTCGGAGGCCAGGGTCTTTTGGTCCGGAGCTCGGAGGCCAGGGTCTTTTGGTCCGGAGCTCGGAGGCCAGGGTCTTTTGGTCCGGAGCTCGGAGGCCAGGGTCTTTTGGTCCGGAGCTCGGAGACCGGGGTCTTTTGGTCCGGAGCTCGGAGACCAGGTTCTTATTTTACGGAGATGGTAAAATTTTCTTACCACAATGAGCGGCCATTACATTAATTTTAAAATATAAAAGTGAAAGAAAATTGATGCCCTACTATCCTTACTACCAGTTATGTTGCCCTATTCTCCTACATATATGTTGTCCTATTCTTCTACATCTATGTTGCCCTACCATTCTACCAGATATGTTGCCCTACTCGTCTACATCTATGTTGCCCTACTCTTCTACGTCTATGTTTCCCTAATCTTCTACATATTTGTTATCATACTCTGCTACATCTATGTTGCCCTATCATTCTACCAGATATGTTGCCCTACTCTTCTATATCTATGTTGCCCTATCATTCTACCAGATATGTTGCCCTACTCTTCTACATCTATGTTGCCCTACCATTCTACACGATATCATGCCCCACTCTTTTACATCTACGTTGCCCTATCTACCAGCTAAGTTGCCCTATTCTTTCCAAAACAAGATAAAGAGATATCTTTTTCAGTTCCTCTAAATGTAAGTTTTTTCTTTTTGTTTTCTTCCTTTCCGCGACTAGCCGAGTTGACATTGAATCACCATAGATAGCAGCCAGTGATTCAACGCAATTTTATTCCACTCCCAAAAATTAATGCCTGACCCAATTTGATAACAATTGCTATAGCTGCTGACGTATTCGCGTCAGAGACCCGATGAATGAAAATCTGCGTATGATTGATGACAGTTCTATAGGTAACCAGCGCTTAATGGGACTTCAATTAAGGCACGTTCTTTTGGCGTGCACATTAATTCAAACTGTCATTGGCGGGGCTGCCTAGCGATGCAGAGCTGTGCTAAATGTGCGGGCCATTAGTGGGTCGTAAACTCAGCGTTTCAACGCCACTACAAATCAATGCGTGGAATATTTGAGCACATGCCACGCGTTGGAAATTATATACAAGATACAAGTTTATAATACATACAACACATTGGCAATTGTATACAAGATGCAATCTTATATCACATACAACACATTGGCAATTATATAAGAGATACAAGTTTATAATATAAGTATAATATATTACAAGGCTTTGATTAAAATGGAGAGAAAAAAGATTCGGGAAGAGCGGCAACAAAATGAGGTACACGACACGGTGCATGTGGATGTACATGTGCGTGTACATGTGTCCGTCGATGGATGCATCGATGTGTAAATCTGATGAACACAAACATCATGAACAGCTTGGGAACATAGCTGTGTGGAAGAAAACATAGATTTCTGGAAGAAAACATAGCTTTCTGGAAGAGAACGCAACTCATCATCGGGCTAGTCACAGCCAACCAAAATTTGTTTACGCAGCTGTAGAAATTTACGATTTTCGGTCTTCACTTCCTTCAAAAAATAATGGAAGACTTGAGATAAGTCAGGCTGGGACCACACTCTGGCCAATTGGCCGCGTACAGCTGTCCACAGAACGCAACTGCGCTTACAATTAAAGTCTTGAGCAGAATTGTATATATTTTTTTTAAAATATCCATTGGTTGAGCATTTTCCCTTTTTAATTTTTTTTTTTACAAACTTCACCAGAGACTTCTGGGGGTGACAGTAGCGGCATACTGCCCACATTCGTCTTCGTACAGGTTCCTTTACAAAACAACATGGGCAGCCGAGAAATAACAAAAACTGAGTGGACGGTGACCCCCGATCACAAGAACACCGGCATGCGTCTCCCACACCGGTCAGCATCACGTCTGGCGGCAGCCGTCGCGTGGATGATGGTGGCGGGAGATGGCGCGAAGGCGAACATTGACGTCAGGGTGGGAGAAATGGCGACCAGACCTCTCTTGAACCACTTCCACGAGGAGTGAAGAACGTGGCCAGCACGTTTGCGCATCTGTCGGACAAATAGGCCAATGTTAAAAATAGTTGAATGTCAGAGGTAAAAAAAAAACAACAAAAAAACTGTTTAAAAAAAATAGCAGACGCGATAAATGGGAGGTTACTACGCCTTTAAAAAAAAAATAAATAAAAATACTGTTGGGCGAGGGGTCATAGGTTAAACGTTTGAAGTCTATTAAGGCCTCCCCATTTTCCACAGACCCCCCCCCCGCCCCCAACGAAAAAAAAAGTTTCTGTGGCCTATTCCTGACATTATGTTAGCAAAGGTCACAGTTGGGGCCAGCACGCCGAGATAAAAAACGTATAAAAAAAATAACAAACGCGAAAAAAGGGGGATTACACCACCTTTAAAAAAAAAAAAAATAAAAATACTGTTGGGCGAGGGGTCATAGGTTAAACGTTTGAAGTCTATTAAGGCCTCCCCATTTTCCACAGACCCCCCCCCCCGCCCCCAACGAAAAAAAAAGTTTCTGTGGCCTATTCCTGACATTATGTTAGCAAAGGTCACAGTTGGGGCCAGCACGCCGAGACCGCTGCGAATCAAAAGGTAAAAACCGTACCATTATTTGTCATTCTTTTTTTTTCTTTCTTTTTTAATATCTAAAAGACTAGAGAAATGCAAATAATGTTTATAAGGTCAGTGTTTGAAGCATTGTGCACATGTGCAACAGACTGGGTTTCGTTTCGACCTTGCACACAGCAAACTGTTCGCTAGGTTCACGCTTATGAGGTTAATGAGTGCTATAATGGAAGATAAAGCAGCACTAGCTACCCTACTGCGAGGTACAACCAGCTACCCCCTCCCCCAGCTGCAGAAACACTTGCTACCCCTAACTTTGCAGTAACGCTATAGCTACCCCCACTCTGCAGTATCTAGCTCATCCAACTGCGCAGTTACACTATCTACCCCACTCTGCAGTAGCACTAGCAACCCCACTGTGCAGTAACACTAGCAACCCCAACTGTGCGCTAGCACTAGCTACAAGTAACTGTGCAGTAACTCAAAAAAAAATCAGAAATCGTCACAAGGATCTAGGACGATGTGCTATTTCACGAATATTTGAAGATCTTGTTTTTCAAAAGAAACTAAGACCTTACTAATCAATAGAAAGTGATTATCTTCAAAATAAGATCTACATTAGTAGACCTTTGAAAAGTTTCAACACTTATATTAAAATTAAATCAAATATCGCTGGTTTAAAGTCCTATCCTTTTACAAATCTAAAAAACTACCGAAAGTTATCCCGAGTGTTTTGTAACTTATGAAACGAAAATAAACCAATATGTTGTAGTTGAACTAAGTGTTGTTATGATGTGAAAACAAGACACGATAACTGAATTTAAACATTTCATAATAAACCATGACCATTTCGTTTAAAGGGTTCATATTTTAAAACTAAAATCTATGACGTCATTACCTCCTTGCGTTTCTGTTTTCTTTTCAGTTTCTTCTCTCTGGAATCGTTGCCCCTGTCTTGGGTTGGACGTTTACCGTCTGAGCTCTGATAGGAGTCGGGAGACTTGAAATATTCGTTGACGTCATCGTCGGTCGACCCTCTTCCCCCGAGGGTGGACTCTGCCTCTTCCACGTCAGAATCCAGCGTCAGGTACTCGGCCAGCTCATCCTCTGACTCCGGCAGGCACCGACGCCCGAGGCAAGCTGAGTAGACCCTGGGCATTATAGGCTGTGCTGTCAGTAAACCCTGGGCATTATCGGCTGTGCTGTCAGGAAACCCTTGGCATTATCGGCTGTGCTGTCAGTAAACCGTGGGCATTATCGGCTGTGCTGTCAGGAAACCCTTGGCATTATCGGCTGTGCTGTCAGTAAACCCTGGGCATTATCGGCTGTGCTGTCACTAAACCCTGGGCATTATCGGCTGTGCTGTCAGTAAACCCTGGGCATTATCGGCTGTGCTGTCAGTAAACCCTGGGCATTATTGGCTGTGCTGTCAGTAAACCCTGGGCACTATCGGCTGTCCTGTCAGTAAACCCCTGGCAATCTCTGCTGTCAGTTTACGGTGGACTTGTTTAAGGTTTCGGGGCAAGATGTGTACATTTCTGTTTTCAGAGTCAGTTGATTCATGTGGTGACGTCAGCTTGTTCGCGGAGAATTTGCAATGGCTGATATTTATTCTTTTCACGTGCGATTATTGTATCGAAAGGCTGTCGGCTTACATACGGTTGCTCGGATGTTTGATTCAATTGAAGGGCGTTGCTGTTATTCTTCCATGGATTGTACGACCAAGTCACGTTGTGTCAGTAAGAGAAACCCAAACAAACTGGTCACACTGCTTTCTGGGGATGCCCTGTGGAAGAGATAAATAGCGTGGGTCACGTGGACGAAATTCGTATTATAAAGTCTTTAAAACTAAGAAACATCCGGGATGCGATGATCTAAAAATATCAACTACAGAACGCGTCACCGTAATTTAGATTTTTAGCTTTTAAATTTTTTTTTCTTTATTTTAAATTTTAAGTTAAAAAAAACTTTTGGTTAAGTGAGTTAAGATCTTTGGAATTCACTACCCCATTCAGGGCCAAAACTCACCTTTTTTTTTTTAAATTCCCAAGATCCTTAAAAAAAAAACTATTATATTTTCATGTCTTGGGAAATCTTGGGAAACGTTTTGACCAAATCTTGGGAATAAAAACAAATTGAGTGACAGCCCTGGTGTCAATGGCCTAAGATTTAGCATTTTTAAAATACTTTGTATTGACTTTGCTTTCGTTCGTGTGTTTCTGGCTCGCAAAATCTTCGGACGGTTAACTGACCCACTTCCCATCAACCTATTGAGCTCAAACTTGGCACAAAGACTCGTTGCCGATGACAACATATTCTGACCAATTGTCAGCCCCATCCCTCAACCCCCCCAAAAAGAGTTTTATTCCTGTTTTCCAATGCGAAGGTGAGGCAAGTTCAAGGGGAGGTGGAGGAAATATAATGCCTCTGATTTCACAAAATGAAATTCCCGATAACTGCGCTAGGTGCGATTCTTTTATTTTTTCAATATCGCAAGTATGTTTGGTGCGTAATATTTTCTTAGGCATTTTTTCTGAAATAGTTGGTGAAATAAATCTGAAGTGTAAAATCTGGTGGGACATTAGAATATTAATATAAAATAAAATAAGGCAAAATGCATATAAAAGATTTATAAAAAAACAATGTTTTTTATGGGTTGTTAGGTTCCATATGATTAAATGAGGTATTTTCTGATAATCTATTTTTTTTTAAATTTTCATTAACACAATTGAAAAAAAAATATAACAAGATAATATAAAGTATTACCTACTGCCATCACTCTACGGGCTTCAAGTGTTTATATGTAGCATGGCAGGCGTACGACAGTGTAATGATCTAAAGTGCACCTCACGCCACATAATGCGGATGAACAGCAATGGCACCCACATGTTACGCCAAAAAACACAGGGATTCCATGCGATATCTGTCATAAACGTTGCCCAACTGGCTTATCACATAAAGCGCGAGGCACCACACAGCAGGTGGTCGGTCGTCAGACGCGGGATGAGCCGAATCGTATCAACCATGGGGGGGGGGGGGGGGGGGTCGAAGAGGAGCAGAGTGGGTTAAATGCAAGGAAAGGCACTATTGGGTGTTTATTTTTTTATTATTTTTTTTGGTGGGGTGTGAAATTTTACATTGAAAAGACGAATGTGAATAGTGCCAACCATGTCGTCCATGTCATGGCATATAAGACATTGCCGTTACCGGTATATTGTATTCGAATAATAAACCTGATAGAATTTATATGGACAACTAATTAATGAAAAGATTGTGTACGCTGACTCCATACGGTATAGACCAAAGTCGGAATTTTAAATACCTGCAATGTCTTTTTTCCTGTTGGGTTTTTATATTGTACTCCCCCCCCCACTTTTTTTTTGTCCCGCTCTTCTGAGCCTTGTTTTCCTTGGGGGGGGGGGGGGGGGGCTTTGGGCCATCTTTTTTCTTTCATTTCTTCCATTTTTCAGTACCGCCAGTCCGGTAATAGTAGGATATACATTTATTGTGTAAATTTGATTTATACTTATATAAATGTGTTGTTGTTTTTGTTGTTTTTGTTGTTGTTGTACTGATGAAAGTATTTACCAAAACGTTTGAATGTGTGTATTGTGCAACCGCATTTAAAGCTCGACCCATATTATTTTATGTACACAATTGGTTTGTTTCTCAATACTCTCAACGATCTACTTAAAAAAGATTTATCGCAGTCCAAAGCATCTTATGACAGAGGGACGAGTATCGAGATGAACATTTTTGGCGACGTAGACTCTTATGAACTTCAGACGATTCTCCGCACGTGACTGTTAATTATAGGTTGGCCATTCGAAATATCCTCGAAGCACCCATATACACTTCAATATGGCTTGTCTCACGTATACATGTGTGTCATAGGGATACTCAGGATCGCCAGGTCGTGCCGCGGACCACAGGGTCAACAGACGTTGTAAGACACGTATTCGTTTGGCACTATTCTAAAGTTGGCCAGATAAACTTAACTTGACAAGGGCCAAATTTCAATTTAAGAAACACCAGGGCTCCCTCCCCCCCAACTCCCCCTCCACTCGAATCGGACTCCCCAAAATCTAGACACCACAGCGACGCCGCTGAAGGCGGGTGGATAAAATGAAGCCATTGCTTCGTTATATTACGTCATTGTGACGTTCGTGTGCCCGGCAGCACCGTAGTCAACAGGCCGCAGGCCCCGCATTGTCAGCCATTAAAGTGTAGTTTGGTTGATCTGAAACACAAGCTGGTGTCACGTTTGTCGTAAATTTGATTGTTTTAATTAGGTACGAAGAGGATATCGCATTTCATAATCAGGTACACAGTTTCGCATCCCTTGATATCGTATTACATAATTAGGTACACAGATTCGCATCAATATGATATCGTATTACATAATTAAGTACACAGATTCGCATCAATATGATATCGTATTACATAATTAAGTACACAGATTCGCATCCCACGATAACTTATTTCATCATTAGTTACACAGATTCGCATCCCGCGATACCACATCTCATAATAAGGTACAGGGATTCTCATCCCATGATATCGCATTTCATAATTAGGTACAGGGATTCTCATCCCATGATATCGTATATTTCAGTTTTAAAATGGAACCTAAACAAGATTGGTGCCAAAAATAACAAAGAACTACTATTATCATATGAGATGTGTGTGCTTGTGTTAAAGTATCTCTCGATACATTCCTAAGCCGACCCTTCAGCTGTACACAATCTGGGTGCACGTCCATGTTGATGAATTACGCCTGTTGAGAGATGTCAGACGGGAGGTTAAAATGCCGAGCATTGTAAGCACGATTACGCAGGCGGGCGTCATCTACTTGGCCAGCACCAGGGCCGTCTATACAGCAGCGACGGCCCTGGGCACATTAATGCATTGAATCCCATTACCCTCTAAACACTCAGGGCTGTGAGAAGATAATTTGTAATTTTGATGCCCAGATCTGATTTTGCCACCACTACCATGCATAACCATAAATTCATTCTGGTAGTGCCCCTGCCCCCCCCCCCCCCCAGGGTGGGCTTTTCGTCCTAGCTTAGTTTTGTCCATAGAATGTATTAAGTCCAACTACGTGAAACAAACTACCTAAATGAAAATGAAATCATAATTTTCCCCTTTCAAAAGAATCTATGTATTTACTTATCTGGTGGTTTTTTTTTTCAGATTCAAATGTGTCGGTACTGTCAATTTAGTAATAGGTGGGGGAGGAGAGATCGAGGGCGTCGAACGAAACTGGCGGGGGGGGGGGGAAGAGGGGTGGTAAGGTTTGGAGAGAGGTCTCAGTAAGCCCCTCCCCATAAAAAATGTTAGATAAATTCGAAATGATGGATGCAATTTTGGCGCATATATGAATTTAGTTTTGCATCCTTCTACACTTAACCGGCTGGCAACAGAAAGGAAGCTAGTTGAAATTTAGGTTCCCTTGACCATGCACGGGTTTAACAATTCCTTTTATTTTTAGTTGTATCTAAATTGTAGTGTTGCTTCATAATTTTATTTGAAACCATTGATATGTTTTTTAAAAAAAAGTTCATCAATGAAAGGAGATAGATAAAACTTAAATTTTGAATGGAAAACTCAATTACATTTTCCCAAAATTTTCAGTAACAAAAAAATACTGTTTTGTAGAAAAGGTCTATAGATTTGTATGGTGATGTAAGACAGGTCATTAAAAAAAATGTTAAAATCTTAATGTATAAAACAAGAGCCAGGAAATATTTACAAAATACGTCATATATTTATAAATATGTGATTTATCTAATGAAAATAGACAGCGTCAATTTCCCAAAACAAATGCTGTACCTTAAAAAGTTTATTTGGAATTTCTAACTAAAATAACTTTCTTCATTTAAATGACTAAATAATAATGAAATTGTGTTGCCTTTGTAAGACTCGTTGGTTTATTCCTCCCCGAACCAAGAAAATGATCAATTGTTTGTTGTTTTTTTTTGTTTTTTTTCATCATGACATTTTATGAAAAGAACATTTTTTTTTTTTTTTTTTTAAAAAAATTTATTTAATTTTAAAATAATTTTTAAAAATGGAAAAAAAAAAAAAAAAAAAAAAAAACAAAAACAAAAAAAAAAAAAAAAAAAAAAAATACATTTTTCTCAAGCTGGTGTCAAAAAAATTGAATGAATGTGAGAATAATTATTAAAAATGGCAAAAACAAAACAAACAAAAAAAAGCAACAACAAAAAAAAAAAAGAAGAAACAAACTTCTTTAAATAAACTGTAGCAGCGGTCTTCCAAAACTATTTCAGTATTCACTAATATTATTGGCGGCATTGAGGCGTCGGGTTCCTAGAGAAATTCTTTTTTAATTTTTTTTTTATTTTAATTGTTTCTTATAATAAGAAATTGTTTCTAAATAACATATTGCTTAGTTACATATTTACTACTAACTTCACAGATAAACACTTGGGGTAATCGAAAAGGCATTTAGCTGAAACGTCATTTTTTTAATGTCCTGTCTTCAATAAAAATAATAATTTAAGCCTAAACACTTATCTTGTTCCACTATTTATTGAAACTAAAACGAATGATCACTTAAAATGATCAAGATGTTTAGAGGTTGGGGAGTGGGGAGGGGGGTATTAATGGCAGTATAAGGACACAACAGTAGTATATCCTCTTACTCCCTGTATGAACAACGAGGCACGCTATTATTATTAAGTGCTATTATCTAAGACCGCACAACAACTTCATAAAACATGACCAGAGCCAGGCGCCGAAGGGGCCATTGAATTGTCAAAGACCACGCAGTAAATTAAAAACTAAAAAGTGATTACCTGAATGCATCTTACCTGTTTCCTTTTTTTTCTTCTTGCAAATCATCCTTGCGTCAACAGGTAGCTATGTCTATGTCTCGGCCTTGTCCCTCGGGGGTGCCCTTTACGAACCTTACACCGCCCCGTTGTTCGTATGCACACAGGACAGCAACACAACACACTATTGACTTGCAAGAAAAATAATCTTTCAATCTGACCTGATTTTAAATCTGACACGATATAGTGTGTGCACTATGTCTTTCGTAAATGACGATTGAGATAGGCCTTTACTTTGTTTACTTATACGGAGTCAGGCCTTGGTGTGTGTGTATGTGTGCTATGTGACTGGAGTTACAGTTGACGGGCAGTCGCACCCGTGTCATTGATCGGAGGTCACATGGTTGACACAGGCACCCGGGTAGGCTAAGGTCGGGTAGACTCAGGACGACCTGGATACGTTGGTGTGCGCTGGTGATTCGGTGGAAGTGTGCAGGAAGAAGTAGCAGCAAAGTCAAGAAAATATGCGCAATTGGATATTGAATTGCATACGAAAAATTTCGCAAACTTCATGAAGGGGTCGTTCGCAAATTACTTCACACTCCGGGAGGTGGGAAGGGGGGTGGGGGGTGGGGTGGCGAAAGGTCCGAGAGGGGGGATCAAAATTTTGTAACGTCACAATTGTATTATTATTTATTTTCTTTTTCTACAATCTAAAATTTTTTAAGTTACAAAAATCTTTATTTCATTAATTTTAAAGACATTAATTGGAGGTCGAGATTGCCTCAAGTGTTATAGGTACTATGAAACTCAGTTGCGCACAACTTCGTTGCTTCGTGTCACAGTTTTCTAATAATACTACATCTTAAGCCATTATGGGAAAAATTTTAAAGAATAAAATAAAAAACTTAGTTTAGTTAGGGAAATTTTATGTATGTTTTAAAAAAAATATTTATTTTTTTAGGTGTGTCGTGACAGGGGGGTATGGATAAAGTATTTGTGACACTTCGTGACAGGAGGGACGGGGGGGGGGGTCTAAAAAGTTAATTTTAGCGTGGCGTAATTTACGATAGGCCCCTAAACATTTCTTAGAAAGTACAAACGCCATCTCCACCTTCTTTCCGTCCTTCTGCTGAGATTTGTCCTCGTTAGGGATTTGTGCCCATTCTTCTTATTTTCTTTCATTTTTCGCATCGGCATTGGCAGGCTAATACCTAAATAAGCATCCATCCAATGTAATTTAAATGTTATGTACATTTAATTTATGCTGATATGAATATCTTCTGTTGTACTGATGAAGGCATTTGCCGAAACGTTTGAATTTGTATTTTGTGTAACATAATAAAGGCTTGACATGTATTCAGATATTGCTTTATTTACACAGATTTTTTCATGTCACATATAAATTTATCTGCTGGACCCAACAGCTTTGAAGGCGTCCAACCCCTCTATTTCAAACTGCTGACGGTGTCAAGGGAGCTAATATAATTATTTTCATTTATTGAACTTGAAGTGTAGGCTCCCTTCTTATGTCCCACATGAGTCTATCCTGTAGTCTGCAGGAAGAAAAGAAGGGAGCAAAAGATGGACTAGAGCCGCGGTTCTCAACCGGTGGGTCGGACGACCCTTTCCCCAGGGCTCGCCTAAGACCAGCGGAAAACACACGTACTTAACAGTTATAATGAAGCAACGAATGTAATTTTTGGTTGGTGGCTGCCACAACATGAGGAACTTGATTAAAGGATCGCGGCATTAGGGAGGTTGAGAACCACTGGTCTAGAGAGAGAGAGAGAGAGAGAGAGTGACGTCGACAATCTGGATTATTATTATTTTTTATTTAAAGTCTTGATTTATTTCAAAATCTTTATTTTAAAAAAAATTACTGAAATATAAAGTTGTTCGTTCCAACTTATAAATAATATTAGATCTAACTATTAAAAAAAAAAAGAAGAAGAAAAAAAAGTGGCTTTGATTCGAGTTTATTTCCTTAAAATTATTTGCACACAAAAAAAAAAAGGCACCAATCATTTTTAAAAAGTTTTTAATGAATTTTTTAAAAAATACTTTACTTAGACTTTAGGTAGCCAGGGTCTATTAGAACTGCATAGCTACAACGGGAAACGGACCTAGGACCGAGCCCTGGGGTACTCCTAATTCAATAATAGATTACTTCGAGGTCGAGCCGTGTGCGATAACTGATTGAACCTGATTGGGTCAGATACGCGCGGGAACATCTCAGGACGGTATCAGTGAAACCTAATGTTTTTTTTGTTTTTTTTTTTTGCAGACGTTGTAGAAGTATGCCGTGGTCAAGCGTAACGAATGCTGTCGATAAATCAATGATAATATACCAGCAAGGGCAGAGAAAATAAGTAAACTTTTATCACGTGGCNAAAAAAAAAAAAAAACAACAATAAAACAAACAAAAAAAAAAAAAAAAAAATAAAATTGGAAAAAAAAAAAGGGACTAATTAAAAAAAAAAAAAAAAAAAAAAAGAAAATAAAAAAAAAAAAGCAATTTAGATGTATCTAAATTTAATTTTTTTTTAAAATAGTTGTTAGTGGTAAAAATTTTAAAAGAACACAACAAACAAGCTTTTCAGTCCAAAACAAGGCGACAAAAATACGGGTCCCACTTGATTTCAACAACAGGCAAGGCCGTGTAGCCTTTCTTCGTCTCCGTTGTTGTTGGCAGACCAAGTGTTCACAATCTATGTCTGCTGTAGTAAACTGTGTTGTCTGGAGTCACCGAACTATTAATTCCCAGTTGACTATGGGGGCAGCTGCTTTCAGTTGACGTATCCGTGGGATAAAGTAGGATCTCATTAGGAAACCAAAACGTCAATGGAGCGGATGGGATGGAATTCTAAGAGAGGCAACTCTTGTAAATAAATCCCCGATAAGTATATGTATTTTTTAAGGTTCTTTTTCGTTTCCTTTTTGTCATTTTTTTTCTTCCCAAACTCTTTAATTTGTAAGATTATTGAGAGCGGAGGGACGTGTTACAATTCCCAATCCAATCTAAACCATTGGCTTAGGAAGAGGGGGCGCAGAAGGGTTTCCGGCCTAATGGTTTTTATTTGTGTTCCTTTTATTTAATTTGGAATATGACTGATATTGGTCTGCTTAAAATGAGTTGAAATATGAAAAAAAACAAAAAAAACAAAACAACAAAAAAAAAACATAAATGTTCTTCATTGATCATATGTTAAATATTTTGATGCAATTTAAAAAGTTGCAAGATTGGACGGCATAACGTAAAATGCGTCTAAAATAATGACAAACACATTTTGGAAAACATTGTTTCCTTCAAATTATAAACTGAAATTTGTTGCACATAAAAAAAGGGCTTTAAATTTTTTTATTTATTCAATACCGGTATTTAAATAGCCGCAGATTATTTATTACTCTTACCAAAATTAAGCATCAATTAATCTATCATTATGAGACACAGAGTGGCTCATCCAACAGTTTAGACCCGATTCCTGCACCACCTTCACTCCGGCCCCCATGCAGTCTCGTCCCGACAATAGAGTAGCTCATCACACAGTTGGACCTGACCCCCTTGCCCCCCACTTCCCCTAATGCGGTCGTGTCCGGGGACCCTGCGGTCATTGGGCCACAGATTTGTCATCCTAAAAAAAAACGTGTGTCCGTGTCTTGGCCCACCCGACCACTAAGCCCGCTTTGGTGGCAGGCCGTTTGCTACTTTCATTCCTCTTAGAGACTTGTCAACACTTCTCTGTTCTTAGGTTCTAGTAGTATAATATTAAAAATTCAATCCTGATCTTGTATTGTTATGAGTGCAAAAAAAAACAACGATCTGATACATGTTAATGACCCCCCCAACCCCCCACCCCCAGGGCCCTGACCCACTAAGGCAATGCTGAATAAGAAAATAAATACAACTGAGCACCATTTGTCTTCTATTAATACAAGTACAAAATTGTATCTAAAAAAACCTAATAAAACAAATAATATAGTTTATAAAGAGTCTTTCACTATAATCACCGTAACGATTATAAGGTGAGGATGTTACTTGGAACTATTACCTATATTATTTATTCACATTCACAGAGGTCCGTGATTGTCCAACAGAGCCCGATGGCCAGAACTCCAAGTCTTTGCATCACAACATTTATTAACTGAATAATGTACACCACACGAAATAATACCTCTGTAAACTAGAGCAAACATCGTTGTCATAACTTCTTCCACTTCGCATTTGTTGAAACAACGTTAAGATGTTGTTTTATACAAGGGTAATCATAGCAAGTACTAACAAAGAAAAAAGACTCAAAAGGGCATTCAGTTCCGGGTCCTTCTCTCCCTATCAGTTCCGGGTCCTTCTCTCCCTATCAGTTCCGGGTCCTTCTCTCCCTATCAGTTCCGGGTCCTTCTCTCCCTATCAGTTCCGGGTCCTTCTCTCCCTATCAGTTCCGGGTCCTTCTCTCCTTATCAGTTCCGGGTCCTTCTCTCCCTATCAGTTCCGGGTCCTTCTCTCCCTATCTCATAACTTCCCTAACTTTCTGTTCCTTCTACTTAACAAGACAATACATTATTCCGAAACAAAATTTATATCTAAATATTTTATCTGTGACAATCACTTATAATGAAAAAGCTCTTCGTTTTTTTTTTTAGTATATCTCAATCATTTTAGCCATTTAGTTTAATCATTGGCTTCCTCATTTACTTTTTACTGACTGCCTTTATTCCCAGTGTCTGAGAGTCAGCTCTTCCCCCAGGATGGTAAAGGGGGGAAAAAATGAAACCAACATAAACAGAAACGATTAAAACCTTTTATTCTTACCAGATACTTTGAGACCGCGGGGAATTTCTTCAAAGGCTATTAATATCTCTGACAGCCTTCCTTCATACCAAAGGTAAGAAAACTTCCCCCCCCCCTTCCAAAGAAAAAGCTACAGCAGTTGTAAAAGAAAAGCAAACCTCACCAAACAGAAAAAAAANGAAGGCCTGAGGCAACAGACGGAAATGTGTCAAGTGTTGTCGCCTCAACTATTCCTTTTGGAAGCTTGTTCCAGTCGCTGATTGTGTTTGGCAGGAATGAGCAGTTCATGTACACTGGATTCTCGCTGGTATTTGCCGGAACTGCCTGTCATGACCTCGTCGCTGTCTATGGGAAAGGGAGAGGGGGGGGGGGAAGAGGGGAGGAGTTTCTGTTTATCATCACCATGGTAATTGGTAATGATCATTTGTTAATTTTCTTGACCATAATAAAAAATAAATTGCCTGAGGGCTTCCCATCTTTTTTAAATTGAACTTTCACACGAAAAACAGGAAAACACATTTAAAAAAAAAAATTGGTGAAATGTCAGATGGCATAATTGATCGTGGCGTTGACA